GCGAGAGGAACACAGAGCCTCCCAGGCCCTTCCCTCCCTCTGCTGGAATTAAATGCCAGTGGGCCCATGTGGGAGATCTTTGATTTCCTCACCAGCCCGAGAGGGCTTACAGCAAGGCTGACTCTGCATGTGCTGGCAGTTGAGATGAAAGGATCTCCCCTGCCGGCCTTGGTCCACGGCCATCGAGGCCCACTGGGCGTTTTCTGCAGAACCCACCACCGCCCACCTGAAATCCCAAACCGCCCACTAGTGGGCGGTAGGGACCAGGTTGACTACCCATGGTTTAGATGGTCAGGATAAGGTTTCCTTGCCTGGTTGCTGGTTTTTCAGGACAGTACCCCACTATAAGCTTTGTCACAATAGAGGCACAGATCTTTGAATTTGCTTCTTTGGACCTCTGCAGCAGGGAGGTGACCAAGTTTTAATTGCATTGATTAATCATCTAGAAGCAAAGGCAGATGTGCTGGATAGGAGTTTGGTGTCATCAGCTGTGACTGTAATTGCATTTGTCCAGTTTGCAGATCTTGAACAGTTTGACCCAGGGAATTCACTGGAAGGATCAGGGTGTTCAAAGCATCTACTATCTTAGCAAGCTCCATAACTGGCTCACTTGTTATGTCATGGGTTTGGGATGAATGGGCTCAGTATGCAGAGATTTGGACAGACACAGTCTTTAAATGTAAGGTTTTTATTATAAAGCAAATAAGTATAAAGAAAGTGTCCCAATGCAAAGTAGAAGCAGTAAATAATGCAATATCCTCATAGGAAATAAAAGTCCTTAAGATAAAATAAAGTCTTTTACCAGAGTTTCAGCACTGGGCAAATTATGAAAGGCTTTATTGAAGTTGTAGCAGAGTTGCAGGGGTTAACCAAGGCTGGAACAGGGTTGCTAGGCATAGGCGTGCGCACTGGGTGTGCCGGGTGTGCCTGGGCACACCCTAATCCCCGCGGCACGCCTATGTATATTGAGACCGGCAGGGGAGATCTCAGGATCTCCCCTGTCGGCTCATGCAGAGCCGGCGCTATCCGAGCGCCGGCTCTGCTCTCGGCCTCCCTCCCCACTGACCCACATGCAGGGAGGGAGGCAGGAGAGGACCCGGCGGAGCTCTTGCCGGCAGCTCCGCCGGGTTCCTCTCGCGAGATATGAGCGTTGCCACGGCAACGCTCAAATCTCGCGAGAGTGAACTCTAGCCCCACAGGGGCTAGAGTTCACTCTCCACTGGACCACCAGGGATCACAGCAGCAAGGATCCCCTCCTCCACTGGACCACCAGGGAAGGAAGCAGCAGCACGATCCCCCCTCCCTACAAAAGGTAAGAAGGGAGGGGGGATAGCAAGTAATGTACCCCCACCTCCACCCCCACAATCACCCACACACACACATACAACACACATGCATTCAGCACCCACAGACATACACAGCACCCACAGACATACACAGCACCCACAGACATTCAGCACCCACACACATTCAGCACCCACACACATTCAGCACCCACACACATACAGCACCCACAGACATACACAGCACCCACACACATTCAGCACCCACACACATTCAGCACCCACATACATTCAGCACCCACATACATTCAGCACCCACAGACATACACAGCACCCACACAGCACCCACACACATACAGCACCCACACACATACAGCACCCACAGACATACACAGCACCAACACACATACAGCACCCACACACACATACAGCACCCTCACAAACACACACAGCACCCTTACACACAGCACACAAACAGCACCCTCACACACACACAGCACACTAACAGTACCCTCACAAACACAAACAGGACCCCAACAAACACACACAGCACACTACCAGTACCCTCACACACAAACAGCACCCTCACACACAGTACATTAACAGCACCTTCACAAGCGCACACACAAACAGCACCCTCACACACAGTACATTAACAGCATCCTCACAAGCACGCACACACAAACACCCTCACCCACATAGCACACTACCAGCATCGTCACACACACATCACACTAACAGCACCCTCACACAGCACACACACACACACACAGCAGTGTGTATATATATGTGTATATATATATATATACACACATACATACATATATATATATATATATATATATATATATATATATATATATATGCGGCGTGTGCTTGTGCTTTAGGGTGCACACCCTAATGCAATAGGCTGCGCACGCCTATGTTGCTAGGGTTAATCAAGGCTGGAACAGGGTTGCTGGGGCTAGCCAAGGCTGGAACAAAGTTGCTGGGGCTAGTCAAGGCTGGAACAGGGTTGCTGGGGTTAACCAAGGTTGGATCAGGGTTGCTGGGGTTAACCAAGGCTGGAACAGGGTTGCAGGGGTTAACCAAGGCTGGAAAAGGGGATTGCTGGCATTAACCCACACAGGAACAGGATTGCTGGCATTAACCTACACATCCAAAGTCCAGGCAGCCAAAGGTTAATTCAGGAAGCAAAAAGTACAACCAGAATTCAGGCAGGTAAGGGTAATCAGATAACTTCTGGCAGAATATGGCTCTGTACTTTAAAATAGGGGTTCAAAGCTAGTGGTATGCGTACCCCCAGGGTTACAATTCAGTGCCCCCGGGCGAATGAAAAAATAAATTGGAAACGGCGGTTCTGCCGCAACACACAAGCTTTGAACCGCGAGTCCATCGGATGGCCCATGCACTTAGGGCTGCTGGAGTGATCCAATAATCTCCCTCACCAGCCCAAAGACAGTTACATGCGGCCGCCGACGTGCGACGTGGGTCTCTGCCAGGTCGAGATTGGTTACCATGGCACACACACGCACACACACACACACACACACAGCGCCTCTCACAGCACCCACCCCCCACACACACAGAAGCACCCACCCCCACACACACACACAGACAGCACCCATCCCCCCACACACAGTGCCCAGTACCCATCCCACACACAGTGCCCATCCCCCACACACACAGCACCCACCCCACACACATAGCACCCATCCCCACACACACAGCCTATCCCCCCACACACAGCCATCCCCACACACACAGCACTCCACCCCCACACACACAGCTGCATCATCCTCCCCACACACACAGCCCATCCCTCCACACACACAACCACACAGCACCCATCTCCACACACACACACAGCCCATCCCACACACACACACACAGCCATCCCTCCCACACACACACACAGCCATCCCACACACAGCACATCCCACACAACACACACAGCAACCCAATCCCCACACACACACAGCACCCATACCCCCACACACACACACAAACATCACCCATCCCTCCCACACACAGCACCCATCCCCACACACAGCCCAGCACCACCGTCCCCACACAACAATAGCCCACCCCACTCACACAGCGCCCACCCCACACACACACAGTGCCCATCCCCTCCACACACAATCACACAGCACCCATCCCCCACACACACACAGCGCCCATCCCACAGACACACACACAGCGCTCATCCCTCTCACACACAAACACAGCGCTCATCCCCCCCACACACACAGCACTCATCCCCCACACACACACAGCGCGTGATAGCAGAGAGAGCCTGTGGCAGGGCAGGGAGAGTCTGGGGTAGAGGGAAATGCAGGAAGCCCCTGGGGCAGAGGGGCCTGCCTTCCCCTGCATGTCGCAACCCACATGTAGTGGCTGCAGGGGCCAGCGGATGAGGATGCTGCTGAAGTGATGTGGTATAAGTTGGTGGCCGGAAGGATGGCTTGGTGCATCCCAGACTCCAAAGATGCCGAAATCCACGTGGCATCTGGTGAGTTAGCGTAGCGCACCAGCCTCTCCAGGTATGCCGTGACGCAATAAGTGTGTCTATCACCGAGTGTGGTGTGTGTGTCTGTCAGTGAGTGGGTGTATCAGTCAAAAGGTAAGAATGGTGGAGGGATAAAATGTATTTTGGAAAAAAAATGTAATAGAAAAAAAAATTCACATTTAATATAATGAAATAAATCTGCCTACACACACACACACACACACACACACACACACACACACACACACAGCACCTCTCACAGCACCCCCCCCCACACACAGCACCCATCCCCCTACACACACAGACACAG